TCCTTTGAGTCATTACCACTCGGTGATTAAGCGAGAGCCTTCCTGTGACTGTATTACAGACGCCCAACGCTGCATCTGTTAGACTTTGCGCACTTCCGATTCGTCCTTCAAGTGAGAAAGGGGGCGAGGCCAGGGGTTGGGCCTACTGAAAAGCGTTACAGATTTCTGTATCCATCTGAGTTACCAGTGGTGATTAAAATAGCACATTTAGAAGACAGAAATCACATACACATCCCAACTGTTACGCGCACCCACGCACTCAAAACACACATACTTACGTACATGTATACAATATATGTAAGTTACTACACTTCTGATATATAATTTGTGCCCCGTACGTACGAGGTGATGGTTGTGAGGGAGATTGTGCATGATGGTGAGGGAGAGAGAATCTATAATCCGCATGGGCTATATCACGTGGAGCGGAGCTCCGTGTCCTGTGAGCTGCACGGTGCACTCATCAATCTCCGATCGCCAATCCTTCTAGACTGTGCAGATTTACGATTCATGATGGAGGTAGCAGGGCAGCCGGTGACGTGCTCAGAAACTAACACAAGGGTATAAAACCAGGTGACGAATCTCATAATGGACACATTCGGGACAGTCTTTTAATGTGGGTAAATGTTTCATTGATCCTCCTCCTTGTTAGGAGGGTTCCTCTTACATTCGACATCTGGATGTACATTCTGGACCAGTTAAAATGCACAATGACTGTTCAACTTCCCATTCAAGCCCCCTTTTTTGACGGCGTCGGGTGAGAAGTTGGGCAGGAAGCGGATGATGAGGGGAGCTTGAATGACAACACAAAGGCTGAGTGATGGATGTTAAGCCCCGCCCCTCTGCCAACTCAAATAAATAGGAAACTGATCAAGTCGTTCAGTTATAGATATAGGAGAGGAATAAAAGGTTTGCAGCATTGCTAGTCAGAAACACGTCGGGTAGTTCATGTCAAGCACCAGGCCAGCACAGGTCTCTTGAACAGAACTACTTAATGGCAAAGTTACGGCTCGTGATGACATCGTTATGAGTTCCGAATATGAACACACGTCGTCTACGGCTTTGGTGAAAATGGTGGTGATCTTACTTTGCTGTGTAGTGTTCGAGGAATATTCAGGATCAAATACAACTCAAGCTCTAGTAACAACGCATGAGACATGGGGACAGAAAATAACTTCTAAAAATTCATAAAACAAAAAAACGTGGAATAGCTGGTTTAAAAGTAGAAAGTATTTTTGTTAAAGCAATTCTGTTAAGTTTTCTAAATGAGTTTGAACATAATATTGCACAGACCATGCTAATAATGTATTGTGGGTTATACTTTTGTAACTGTGACAGTTGCTTCATAGTTCTGTCCACTTGCGGATATATAAAATATTTTTCTGTGGTAATCGGTAAAGCGTGATCGACCCAAAAATCATTTACTCGCCCCCATGTTGTTTCAAACCCTTATGATTAACATGTCTGTTTGTTTTTTTGTTTTTTTTGTCCATAAAATGAAAGTCAATGGTAACCAAAACTGTTCTTCAAAATATCTTCATTTTGAGGGTGACGGAGTTGCCATTTTTGGCTGAATTCATCCTTTCAGGCCAAGAATTTCCAAAACATGTTGCTTCTACTGTATATGGCACCATAATATCAGTGACAGAGAGATAATAATGTATATTTCCAAACTGAGTAATGAGTCAGTGTACTCTTATTCAATTTTAATGTTAAAGTACAGTATATGTACTTCTACCATTTAATTTTTCAACAAATTCTGATTTTAAAAAGAAAAGTATGGTAAAGACGGTTAAAAAAAGACAGTCCTAATCTTAAGAGTTTAGAATAAACAAAGTGGTAGAGCGGTCAAATTGACTCTACATCAACTACACAGCGTGTTCAGAACAGGCCAATGTTAGAGATAATAAAGGCACACATTGTGCTGCTGAAACTCTATTATCCACGTCCTCAACACCTGAGGGGCACTTCAAACTATGAGCATCTCCTGTCGGCTTTGTTCTGATGTCAATCAAGCCTTCTGGGCTACACTTACACATCCTATACAAGCTTAGATTGACAATCAAACAGATCTGAATCCAGTTTGCCAATATAAAAGAAATTCGATATTTGTGAAATTCGAGTCTTTGACTAATTTTCCTCTGCCAGAAGCTCTTTTTTAGGTGGTTGTAGCGTTGCGCTGTCTAGGGATGGTAGTGTGCCTCCTGATGATCATATTCTTTGGTTTTGAAACTGAATATGTATAGAATATATACAGCATCTAAATTTGATCAGACACGTTCACTCTAATCGCAAAAGCAACAGGTGTTGTTTGTCAGTGGCTTATGTTATTTCTAGTTAGCATCATCAAAGAGTGGGTGGAGATATGTTGAATGTTCAAATGCTTTAACATGGCAGCCGCCCAAAAACAGCCCAGAACTTTCCACAAATAGAATAGAAAACAAGCCTCTTAAAATTAAAATCATTTTTCGTTCTTTCAACAAAATCATCAGTGAAAGTGGTGCTTGATTTTTAGAAAAGAGTGACTGTCAACCTCAGGAGGTCAAACTAAATAGTACATGAGCTGGTTTGTTTTACATTTATTTTAAAATAAACCATTGGTGTATGAATGAGTGAGTGAATGGGTGAATGTGAGGCAATGTGTAGAGCGCTTTGGTGGCCATTGGGTCTGTGAAAGCGTTATATAAATGCAGTCCATTTACATGCTTTTTTGCAACTCTATTGCTATAGGAAATAACAAAATCACAAAATTTTAGTATCAAACATAAAAACTAAATTGTACCCTATTTGTGGAAAGTGCCATTGATGGTTTTCACGTCTTACAAAACGAACAAGGTAAAACAAGGAGCCATAAACAGCACATACATTATGTGTGCTAAAAACAGATGAATATGATGCCACTCGCTTTTCAATGACTCAACAGTCAGGTCATAAATATGCCCGATTCTTCAGCTGCAATTTATAGACATCAAGCAACCCGTTCATACAGTGAACGCTTTGGATAAAAAGGAAAAAATGATGTAGAAGGTGTAGAACATTAAACTGGCTTTAATAACCAGATGCTCCTGTTGACCGCAGTCACCTGCTTTGCTTCTACACTGGGTTTACGTTATGTGTGTGTGTGTAAATAGAGGATAGTGTACAGTGTTAACACTCTTTCCACAACTGGATCAGAGAGAGGGTTATGAGGATGAAGCTGGCAGAGAGCAATGAAGGATTCTGATATGCTGGCTCATATAAGATAAACGTGGAAGCGTTAATGCAATGTTGTATCTTATATGTTTTAGTGTGTGTATCTGTTCCAGAACCCAGTGAGCTGCCTCGCTGCCTGCTCCTTACATAGACAGCGGTCCGTGAAATCTCAAAAGTGACTCATTTGGACCATCTACATAGGCAGTAACACAAATAGCAATGCGCACAAAGGAATTTCAGTAGGGTATGTCGCTATCATAACAACAAGATAAGGTACGGTCACACAGTACAATAATGTTGAGATGTGTATTAAGCACATCTTTCAAACCAAGCAGATTTCTTTTGGTCAACGGGGCAAGTTCACATGACTAACTTTAACAAAAGCGAAATCTGCATGGTGAACATTTCTGCTCTCACGTGAAACTCACAACGCGCAAATTCCTATTGGAATGACTGGATTTGGTAAATGTGATTCGTGATAAGTTTAACTATTTTAATCAATACTTTAATTCCTCTCGTTCGTCTGCCAAGTTTGTCATGCGAAACGAGGTATCTTTTCCATCTGAAGGGTGCCTTAAAAAGTCGCCTGCTCACACAGATTTCCTTTGGTCTCCGCAGCGAATTCGCATGACCAACTTAAACATGAGCGAAATCTGCATGGGGAACTTTATCGCCCTCTTTATCGCCCTTTATCGACCTTTTCGACTGGAACCGGGACTAACTTTTAGTTTTTCCCGGAATCGTTCAAAAGTTAAAATTTCGATTCCTAGTTTCGATATTCACAGTCCGCCGAGCGGAAGAAGAAACCACTGAACAACACCAACGAAGAAGCGTCTCCCGGAAGTGTTGGCATAACCGCGCGAGTCGAACATGAGTAGCTTACGTCGGCGGTCCAAAGTGTGGCTTCACTTTTCTAAAAATAACGAAATCTCGGCAAAATGCAAAATTTGTGACAAAAGGAGTATTTCCTTCAGAAAGGATTATTTCCTTCAGAAAGGCCGTTGGTTGGCAAGGTTAGCTAAACTTTTTTTGACCCTGCCTCTTAAAAGAATCGGAATCGAGAATCGTTAGGAACCGGAATCGAAACAAGGAATCGGAATCTGAATCAGAATCGTTCAAATTCAAACGATACCCAACCCTACTGATAAACATAAAGTGAATTTGTCCAAAATTAGATCCCTTTTCCATCTGAATGATATCTTAAAATGCTGTCTATGAAGAGTGCTCACAAGGTTCTGGAACGGAGCGTGAATGTACGTGTGCGTGCGCCCACTGCATGAGTATGTTCAGAGAATGTCTAATTGAAGAGAATTGGCACTGGCTGGTTACTTCCGGTTTCTGGACTGGCTGCAGTAACACGTCTCTGTCCATGAGGGGGCGCTCGCGGTCGAGTGCAGAATGAATGGGAGTCAATGGGGTTTCACCCCCAGAAATCCACTTTTCTCAGGATGTAATTTTTTCTCAAGTAATTTGAAAGTTGCATTCAAAAGGGAGGGCTAAGATAATACACTCAGCTGAAAATTGCATTTTTAACTGTTCTAAAAATCCATTCAAAAATGTGATGACGTCACACAATAGCAGAACGCTAGCGTGTTCCGGCCAACAACAGCCTAACCTGTAAGAAATCAAAAGGACATAAGTACTCGTTCATTCGACTTTTGGCCTATAATCTATATTGAACTTGCGGAATCAACAATAAAATCGATGTTGATTTAACGACAAGCAGGTGAAAGAGACACTTTTAGCCGTTTAGCCGCATAGACTCCCATTCATTCTGCTCCCGCCCGCGATCACCTCCAGTGGAATTCTAATGGAACTGCAACCAAGATGATGCACAACGGGGCTAATAGGAAGTGCCAAGGCTCTCCGTTAGACGGGCTCTGGTATGTTTCATTTTCAGGGACAGAGGGGGGCGGCATGAAGGGGCAAGGAAGTTGTCGATTAGACCATTTTGCTGTGGGTTACGTGGGGAAAGGCTATCCCAGGCTTCCTCTCTGGGGAGCGGAGGGGATAGGGCACGCTAGGGAAGCAGCTCAGAGGACCGTTGCTTTCCCTGGCCCTCCGAATCAAGCTCTGCGATTCCCTCCTCAGCGGCATGACCTCCAGCCGCCTCTTCCTCCGGCCCTCCTGAGGGAAGAGCGCAGCCACCTCCAGCAATTGTCCGTCTGAGGTGGTCTGCGTGTAGGGGGGCACTGTGGGTTTAGGCTGGGGCTTTTGCCTGTACCCACCGGTGCCGTTCTCTTGGTAGGGACGCCAGGCCGCGCCGACCCCGCCGTAGGGGGGTGTGAGGTCTGGCGTGACGTTTCTCATTGGGGGCAGGCCGGATGAAGCTGGGAGCCTGAAGCAGCCAGTCTCTGCACGCACGTCTGGCCCCGTGATGCTCAGACTCGTTCTGTCCGTAAACGAATCCATGCGGTCTTCGTAGGCCAGGTCAGCGGGCGCCGAGCACTGTTGAAGTGGCCAGCCGCCCCGGGTCTTTCCTCCGTTCTCCGCCCCTCCGTCTTGACACACCACCTCACTCTGCAAGGGCTCCACTTGCTCTTCCTCCTCCTCCTCCTCTCCTGCATCCTCCACCGGATCCTCTTCCCGTTGCTCCTCCGGTTCATCCGAGGGTGGGGGCAAACGGGGATCCCGGAGGAACACCACGATGACCGAGATGTTGTCGCTGGACCCCGCGTCTCGGGCCGAGGCCACTAGCTTGTGGGCGACCATGGAGGTGTCGCCGCTGTTCTCCTGCAAGTGGTCGCTGACCACTCGCACGGCTTCGTCCGGGTTCACGGTGTCGTAGAAGCCGTCGCACGCCAGGATCAAGTAGTCCTCGCTGCCGTCCAGGTCGAAGGTGGCACAGTCTGCATCACCACAGATATAGGGCTTGTGTTCTGAATCACCTGCACATAGACAGGTACAAAAAAAAACAATGATTATCTGAAAGTGATTACGTGAATCTCACAAAAAAAAAATAGGTTTCAGAAAATTGGTATATGTTTGTAATATACAGATTTTGTATCTTAAGATATTATTTTATATTTATTTATTTTATTATTGCAATATAATATATGATTTCTTTCATTAAAATCAACAAATTAAAGGAACTTGAACACACCCTAGATTTTAAATAAAAATAGTTTTTGAAAATTATATATTAATCTGATAAATAAATTCACACTGCAGTAACGAGATTCTTAAATGTAATGAAAATAATGCCCTAATGCAAAAAAAAAAAAAACTAAAATATGTTTCAATATTTTATTTAAACAAAATCTAATTTCTTGTTTTGTTTTTTTTCTTTTGAGTTATGACTCGGACATGCTCTGCACTTTTGTACTTGTAAACAACCAGTTGCCTAGTCTATGGCAGAATTAGCCTCACTTGTCCTTTTTATGAATCAAGAGCTTTAAGGGAATTAAATGCTAAACTGATAGGATTATCCAACTGATTAGCTATCAGCATTTAGGAGCGCAATGGTTTCTGTGCACGAAGCCTGATTTTGTTGGAGGTCAGTCTTTGTTTTTACGGCAATTTTCATTAGCCTGAAAGCTGTAATCTTACACTAGCTAATGTACATACTGCAAAGGACACTGATACTGTATCAATAATTTATTGAGGTAATGAAGAAGTCAGGTAATTCAAATATATTTGTGGTTGGTACATTTTTCAACTCCAATTACACAGTTGGTCTGATCACAAGTTTAGAATCAGTATAGTTGATTAAGTTATAAAGGGACAGTTCACCCAAACATTAAAATTCTTTCAGCCCGTAAGACTTTCGTTCATCTTCAGAACACAAATTAAGATATTTTTGTTGAAATCTGAGAGCTCGATCACTCCTCCAATTGGCTTCTTTTGTAATTGAAACTTGCCGGCCCAGAAAGTTAGTAAAGACATCGTTAAAATAGTCCAAGCGACTACAGTGGCTCAATCTTAACCCTCAGGTGCTCTTCGTTTCGGAGTCACACTTGTTATCTTCCCGGTCAAAAGTATTTTTGCCATGGAAAAATATATATATTTATATATTTTTTTTAATTATTAATGCAGTATTTTAGTTTAATATAAAGTCTAGGCCTTCAGAAAAAATAATATTTTTTGAAGAAAATTAGCACCATCTGGTTACAGTATAGAGAAAAAGCATAGAATCATTGTGTAACCACTAGATGGCATGAACAGCCCAGATGTTTATGAACACTTTTTTTTATTTTAATATATAGTTGAAACAATCTCAAAAACGATTTTTTATTAAAAAAATGTAAATATATATATATATATATATATATATATAAATAAAAATGTGTGAATTTTTGTGTTTGTGTCAATTTCCCATTCATTTCCTATTGGGGTCATTTTTGACCACAAGTGTGACAATTTTTTTAAGACCACTATGCATGCTCAGATCATGACCTCAATTTTTTGTGTGTTCACATACATAATACCATAAAAGTCACCAAGTTTCGTAACATTCCGATGAAGCTGTAATTTTTCAAAAATTCAAAACAGAAAATTTTTCGGTCAGAAATGACCGAAGAGCACCTGAGGTGAATTTCATCAAGCGACGAGAATATTTTTTGTGCGCAAGAAGTATTTGTGGCCTCTGAGTGAGTTCACGTGGTTGGAACAACGTGAGGGTGAGTAATTACTGACAAAATTTTCATTTTTGGGTGAACTAGCCCTTTAACAATAATCAATATGGTTCTTCAACAGCACACAGACGCAGCTACTGATTTACACCAAGTGTAAGGGTTTCCTTTCTAAAATGATGTTTCCTTCACACTGAAATCTGTCGTGTGGTGATAAAGGTTTTTTTTTGCTGTGGCTTGAACATCCTTTTCTAAAAATATGCACACACTGACGTTTAGTTCACTTTACCTTACAATAAATCCTGTCTAAATAAGTGAATATCTTCTAGGAGCTCAAAAGGAAAGTCCTTCAAAACTGTCTTAAGGAGTTTTTACCTCTCCGCCGATGGCTGATTACTGGGATTTGTGAGATACTATTCTGTAAAGCTGCTTTAGAACAGTACTATATAGTGAAAAGTGCTATTCAATTGATGTATGCAGTTGTTCATATCATTTATAGGGCACAAACAGGGCTGTCAAGTCTGCATGTTAAAATGTATATTGTAATCTCATACCTATGGCTCTTGACACAGACAGGCTGCCGTTCACCCTCCATGTGCCGAACCAGATCACACACCCACCTAGAGCCTCAATCCTCTTTTTCTCATCCTACACACACATAAACAAAACAAACAATAAAGTCATGAGGAGTCATTAACAATAACAAGTAGTATCATTTTCAGTTCAGTGTCAGTTACTAAAACTCGAATTGGCTGAAATGTCAGACTGTGACTTACATACAATTTCATTATATAGCTCAAGCTCCAAAGACTCGGCTAAACGGATCCACTCTTGGGAGTGTGTTATGTAACACAGCTTTGCCGTCATGTGACTTTTGTCGATTGAATGGGCTGTGAAGGACATCCTCGGCCTCATGTATAAACGTTGCGTACGCACAATAAAGGCATTAAAATGTGTGAATGCCATTTTCCACACCCAAAAAATAAATAATAATAATATGTAAAGCAATTTTCAATGCCTTTTTTTGTGTGTACACAAGGATTATACATCAGGCCCCTGGACTTCTGGGGTAAAATGAAGGTCATTTGCAAAAAACGTAGGACCAATGTTTGCCAATTCTATATTGGTCTCCGACTATTTTAAATTCAATCATCTGTAAGTCTATTTTTTCTTTGAAAGAAATCTCTTAAGCTCTCCAAGGCGGGATTTATTTGATCAAAAATATAGTAATATTGTGAAATAGTATTACAATTTAAATAACTTTTGTCCAATTTAAGTTTTTCCTGTGATGGCAAAGCTGAATTTTCAGGGTGTTCAGTGTCACATGATCCTTCAGAAATCATTCTAATTTGCTGATTTGGTTCTCAAGAAACATTTCTAATTATCAATCTTGATGATACATTTTTTGCAGGATTATTCAATGAATAGAAATAATCTTTTTTTTTTTTTTTTTTACAAATAATTGAAGAGTTCAGATGCAAAAGCCTCTAAGTGCCGTTTGAAATTTTCTTCTAAAATGATCATTTTTATCAAACTTGTATATTTAAGTTCAGTAATTTCACTTAAATGGCAATGAAGATTACCTATTAATTGTCATTTAAGTGAAATTACTGAACTTAAATACACAAGCTTGATAAAAATGGTCATTTTAGAAGAAAATTTCAAATGGCATTTAGAGGCTTTTGCATCTGAACTCTTCAATTGTAATTTGTTACAAATCTTTTCCCGAGTCAATTCGTTCGTTGAATGAACCAAATGACTCAGAAAAAGATTTGTTCATTTTGATGAACGAGTTTGAACAGGAGAGTCACGAACGCGCATCACAGAACAGAGCAAGGCGAGCATTTGATCCTATAAAACATAAACTTTGTTATTTATTTATTAAATGAGCGATCATTTCGCTAGATAAGACTCTTATTCAGCCATTTGCACTGATACTGTCTTTTGGACCTTGAACCGTTTGGTTCCCATTGAAGTCCATTATATGGAGAAAAATCATCAAAAACCTTCATTTCTTTTCGACTGAAGAAAGAAAGACGTGGACATCTTGGATGACATGGGGGTGAGTAAATTATCAGCAAAAGTTTTTTCAAAAGTGTTCACAAACGTTTGAACTGTAGTGTACTGTATATCAATTAAATGAAAAAAATGATGTACAATACACCTCACCTCTCTGTCTGGTTTGTGTGGTTTCATCAGCTCCACCGGTTGACCTCTTTTCACCATCATGACCTGTGAGTCGCCCAGCCAGGCAACGTAAAGCGTGTGACCCTTCAGAAAGGTCACGACCCCTGTGGTGCCACAGCGCAGGTTCTGTTCCGGACATACAGATGCACACAGATGTTGTCAGAGCACAAAGGGCTGATAGGAGCATCTTGACGCCTGACTGTGTTTATAGGGAAGGAACTCACCTCACGTGACGCCTTCTGCATGAACCGCTGATCTGTCAGTTTGAAGGAGTGACACAGGGCCTCTAACGGATCCTGGCTGAACATCCCCTGTCTGACCAGGTTTACGTGCAGGTGATTGGCAGCGTAGACGGCAGCGTCCACCCCGCCGTGACCGTCAAACACGGCGAAAAACGCCTGGTCTTCCTGATCCTAAACACATGATTTTTGTTTGTTAGCTTTACATGCGACAATATACTTTTTGTTTTTCTATATTTTATTTCAGATTTGATCATGATTCAAATTTTGTTACAGTCACTCGCTGTCCTGAAATAAATGTTTCTGTTGTTAATAGCTTATTACCACATAAAATTCCCATAATCCATTCTTAATTGAAACAAATTAGAGCCCGACGGATAAAGGATTTTGAAGGCTGATACCGATACAAATATTTTTTGGTTTTAAAATCCGATATTCCGATATATCGGCCGATATATATTTTTAATTATTTCAGAAACGCTCAACAAAACATTAACAGATTTCCCTAACATTAGTTATTTGTTATTATTTATGAGTTTTAACTAAATTAATATGATAATTCTTTTTAATAATTTCTTTTAATTGTTATTCAAGCAATGTATGTCTTGTGACCAACTCAACGAGTGTTGCCAACAGGAACGGTGTAGAGTGCCCTCTGGTGGACAAACCATACAACTCCAACACTCATGACATGGTTCAAGCGTGTTTCGTCCGTTTTTATTTTATTTTTTAAATATTCATTTATTGGCCATTATAACTGCCGATACCGATAGTTTGGAAAATGCCTAATATCGGCCAATAATATCGGCCCGCCGATATATCGGTCTGGCTCTGAAATAAATCTCTATAAACAATGCAAAACAAAACAAGAACGTGCCAACCTCTGGCATCCGACAGATCCGAAGCTGTTCGCTTAATCAACTGCAGTGAACGTGGCTAAATGAAATATAAATATATGCAAATCAAGTGTTGGTGTTTCCTCTCGTCGATCGGTTTTCATTATCAGCAGATTACGGATTGTTAAATGGTTTAGTTCCGTAGCAGGGCTGGTCAAACGGGATCAGCTCGCATTGGTATAAATAAGGATTTCATTATGAAAGACTCCTTGAGCTGCCATTCCTGACACTGCCGACGCTGAAAAGAAAACTCCAATTTTAATCAACAAAGTTTGAACAACTATTTTGAATTAAACTGATTTTCTTTGATTATTCAATGAATAGAGTTTTCCACATCTTGCATGCAATTATCTGTAAAACAACAGCTGTCCGCCTGAAAATGAGTTTCCTCACCGACTAGGGAACAAAACAAGGATATATATAGAAAATAAATAAACATACAACACAAATCAAGATAATCAGGACAGTAAACTCATAAAATAAATACAACCAAATGGATATGCAAATTTTTCTGAATAGTTTATTGAAAATTATCTGCATAATTGAGTCTCAGTTATTGAAATGTATTCAGGACTGAAATATTAGCATTAGTTTGTATTCTAGTTTCGCTTACATAGAACAGCACAACTATTTTTACATCTCATGATGTCCACTAATGGCCTAGACTGGTCTCTGATCTGTTTCAGCCTAAGGCAAAGGGATGCTGCTGGTGTTCACCAATAATACCAGTAAAAGCTCAACATTTATCTACAAAATAATGGCAGATGTAAAGAACCAGCCGAGAGACTATGAGCACAGGGAAAAGCGTATTGATGAAATGTGCCGCCATCAGGGAGGGTCTATTTCATGTTACAGTGGACGGCTATGCAACAGTGTATACTCTGATTAGAGGAAGAGACCACACTTCTCATCCGAAGAATCAAGTACAAGATGTGAGACGGCAAATCTGCCTCCACTTATTGCTTTCCAGTGACCAAGCAGATTCTCACACGGCTGGAAATTACACCGGCAATTTACGTAATGCAACTTACGTAATCTTCTGGGATGTTACATTCAGCACAACTCTATTATGTTGAAAAGTGATGCTAAGTGTAGCGGTGCTTTAGCATCTACAGAACCTACACTCACATTTGTGAGAACAATCATGAGCTTTTGACAGCCATTAGTATTCATGTTAGATGCCTGTGGCTTAGCAGCTCGCTCAGAGACCCATTGAGCCCTGGTGCTCGTGTGGGCGTTGCAGGTTTAAATCAACATTTCCTGCTGATATTAAATTCTCTTCTCTCCATCAAAAAGGACATAAAAATGATATCTTTAGAGAAGAATTTTCATTTGCATGATATTTGCATGAAACAATCTCTATAACCGTTAAAAATAAAAGAATTTATTTGGCATAAGACGGATAAAATGTCCCTATCTGACAGACATTCCTGAAATAAGTATATATGAAAATATATTTGTCTCTGTGACAGAACAGAAATCTTGGATTATTTGATGTTCATTAGACATGTACTGTTTAAAAGTATGTGGTCGATATTTATTTATTTATTTATTTCAAGCAAAATAGTGTGACAACAGAAAAGATACACAATAATAACTTATACACTTGTGCTTGAAATGGAGTGGGAAGAAGTAAAACTTATTAAACCCCACCCCAGTCTATTAAAGAATTTATTATTTCCTTCATCAATAACCTCAAAAAGAAAATAATAATAATATAATAATAATAATAATAATAATAATACCACATTTAGAAACAGTGGATGCACAAGTCAAAACCAAACACTCATACCATACATATTAATAATCTACAAATATTTCCACAGGTAAAATGCTAGACGAAATAATGGTATGATTTTTTTTTAATGTTTTTTATGTCTTATGTTTATGATTTTTTTTAAATGTTTTTAAGTCTTTAATGCTCACCAGCACTGCATTTATTTGATAAAAAACTGTAAAACTGTAAAAAAAAAAAAAAAAAAAAAAAAAGAAGAAGAAGAAAAAAAAACAAAAGAAAAAAAAAAGAAATCATCATTTATTCCTGTGATGGCAAAGCTGAATTTTCAGCATCATTACTCCAGATCCTTCAGAAATCATTCTAATATGCTGATTTGCTGATTATTAATGTTGAAAACAGCTGTGCTAGTTTAATATTAGTAATCCTGAAACTTGATACGCACTGACACCAAACTTTCGAACGGTACATTATTAAAAATAAAAGTCATTCAAACTCACGATCAAGGTCATACCTGTATATTGAAGAGTGAGTTGAAGTCCGGAATGACAACATGTTTGTCTTCCATCTTTCGGCGCATGTTTTTAATGGCGTGGATGGAGGTCTCGTAGTACGGCATGTGGCGGCGGCGATACGGGAACTCTTTTAGCCAATGACAGCATGTCTCGCACAGCTTATTAAAGATCAGCCGTGCCAGCTTTACCGATTCGATCTCTGCCAAGGCAAGTTACATGTTACATGTTACACATGCTAACACAAACACTCTGCTTTGATGATTAATGATGACTAAATCAACCATTGTTTCATGTCACAACACTGAAAAAAAAAACACATACATGCACCATACGCAAACAGACAGTGCTGTTTTTTGGCTCATGAGCCAAACAGATTTGACTGTAATATCGTATTGGAAAGGAAGAGTGCATGAGCTGTTGATTAAATGCACAGTGGAATCGGAATTGAGGACAGTGGGCAAAAGAGGCCATCTGCCAACTGAGAAAGAGAGAGAGAGAGAGTGACTGGTGACTGGTTTATGATGATGGGATTGTTCCAGCTCTGGTCTCTATGGACTAAAGCTGACGTTCCTTCGTTCTGTGAAGTTCGATATCAATATGTTTGAAACACACGCTCTCCCGTTCTCGGTTTAAATCGGTTGAGTATTGAAAAGTGCCTAAAGCCTAAAGGGATACTTCAGGATTTAGCATTAAGCTTTCTATTACATATTTTTATTTTGTAGGTGCAACATCTTTAAAAGTATCACTGGCAATCAAATGATTTGTTTCTCAATCTCATAAAATTTAGCTGGAAGAGTTTGATTGCAAAACGTATGGCAAAGTCCCAGATTCCCTAATAGAGAGTCTGTTTTTATCTCTCAATTTGTGGCATATTTTTCAATGGCACTATTTCCCCTTCCCTTTTTGTCCATCAGTCCACCACAGTGCTGCTTTGGACAGATGTATTTTATCATTGTGTGGACGGAGAGGCCTTTTAAATAGTTTGATGGTTGTAAAGTAGACATTACATGCTCTTTCCTCTTCCCTTATCCTTTTAGATGCTCTCTCTCTCTCTCTCTCTCTACGTCTTGTCTCCGTGGGCACAGAGTCTAAATTGACTCTGCCATGTCAGAGCTGCGCTGGTGAACAGTATGTACTGCCTTTGCCCTGAGCAGACGTCTGTCTGCCGCCCAGTGAACTGATGTCAGTCGTTTCCACTGCTATAACTTACACTGAACATCTCTGCTGCTGGAATGGGTCAAGTCACGTAGGCCTGTTTAAAGACCCATACCTCCCGTGAAACCCTTCATTAACTGTCCCGGCTGAGGAAACCCAGACTCGGCTCGAGTGGAGTTCTCGAACTCTGACGTGTTTTTGAACAGTGCTTAAACTCAACGCAGATTGCGGTCCATCTGGCCTTATAAATCTACTGTCCAATCAGGAAAGTGTCTGGGATTAGTGTGCTATGTGAAAGTCTGTGCTAACTCATGATGGCAATAGTTAGATGTGAACCACAGAGAATTATTTCAGTTGGAATGATTGTATTTATGAGATCCGTGTATATGAACGCCACCGCAATGTGATCAGCAGTGGGAAAACTCTGAATTATGACAGAAAAAAAATTGCTGTCGATCACAATTAAAGATGGAATTTGTCATTTCTGAGTCACTAGCAGTAAAAAAATGAATTGTAATCTGTTTGGTTGTGCAGCCAGACCTAATTTCCCATAATTCACTGTGGCAGCACGGACATTTTAAAATACATACAACTATAAACAGTTACTTGTATTTTATTTAGACAAAAAAGTATAGAATTTTAATATGCATGTAATTTATTTATTTATAAATACTATATATTATAATGATAATCATTTTCGTGTTATGGCTGCTGGTAAAATTCTACAGTAGCTTATACTGTCTAAATAAATGAAAAATATAACACTAAAAGCTAAAATCAATGCGAGGTGAATATAGCCATCACAAGATTATAATGTACAGTAAGACATTAAAATCATATTCATTTTGAAATTTGCTAAAGATTACATTTTAAAAAATGTGTTTTTAGAAATATAAGGTGATCCAAAAGTAAAAATAATGCAATTTGGCATGTATAATTAAATGCAATATCTACCGATATGTGTAAATGTAAGAAATCTTAAAGGAGTAGTTCACTTTCCAAAAAATTTTTTTGCTGATAATTTACTCACCCCCATGTCATCCAAGATGTCCATGTCTTTCTTTCTTCAGTCGAAAAGAAATTAAGGTTTTTGATGAAAACATTCCAGGATTTTTCTCCATATAATGGACTTCAATGGGAACCAAACGGCTCAAGGATTAAAAGACACTTTCAGTGCAAACTGTTCAAAGAGCTTTAATTGATTCCAGACGATGAATAAGGGTCTTATCAAGCGAAACGATCGCTCATTAAAAAAAAAAAAATCATAGTTTAAGTTTTATAAGCTCAAATGCTCGCCTTGCTCTGTTCTGTGATGCGCGTTTGTGACTCTCCTGTTCGAACTTGTTCATCAAAACGAACGAATCTTTTTCCGAGTCAATTCATTCGTTTCGTTTGTTGAATGAACCAAATGACTCGGAAATAGATTCGTTCATTTTGACGAACGAGTTCGAACAGGAGAGTCACAAACTCACAGAACAGAGCAAGGCGAGCATTTGAGCTTATAAAACATAAACTTTGTTATTTATTTATTTAATGAGCGATCGTTTCACTTGATAAGACCCTTATTCATCGTCTGGAATCGTTTAAAGCCCTTTGAACAGTTTGCACTGAAACTGTCTTTTGGACCTTGAACCGTTTGGTTCCCATTGAAGTCCATTATATGGAGAAAAATCCTGGAATGTTTTCATCAAAAACCTTAATTTCTTTTCAACTGAAGAAAGAAAGACGTGGACATCTTGGATGACATGGGGGTGAGTAAATTATCAGCAAATGTTTTTTCAAAGGTGAACTACTCCTTTAAACATAGGCTGATAACAAATATTCTGCATCCCTAACTTCATTTGCATACCAGGCATTATTTGTTTTAACATACTTTCAGTTTACAATTGTTGCCGCAGAAAGTTGACGTCTTGATTTTATAACAAAAAGAGGTGTTTTGACATTCAAACATGAATCGATTTTCGGTTTAACGACGGTTAAACCGTGGCACATTAGCAGCCTTTTCCATCTCAAATTCCTTTGCCATTTCAATTCGAATATAGAAAGATAAGAAAGCAATTCAGGCCAGCGTTAAGTTAGTAAGTGACCTAAATTTGCACTTGAATAGGAGGTTTAAAATTGTGCAGAATGGCCTACATTCGGATCAAATATTATGTTATCTCTTCTCTACTCGATAGCAAGACTTCAACACAGATTCTCAGGCTTTATTGATGCTGCATGACGTTGGGTCACAATCGACTCAAGACTAGTCTCAGTCCGAGTTATCTTTAGTCTTTTCAGTTTACGTTTATGTGATGCAGGTTTTATGGGTCACTCACGAGGCAGCCTGTCTGCTCCGTCCTCCAGATTCTTGATGATATAGTACGTCGAGAGATCGCTTTGCAGAATACTGTCAGCCGTACCACGGGCCAGAGCCGCAGCCAAGGAGAAAGGGCAGTTACTGTGAAAGAGAGATGAGGAGAGAAAGAGAAAGCACTTTAAAACATCTGCTGAGTAGATCACGGAAACATTATGCAAAGGAGCGCTGTCAGGATTTGATTCAATTTCCCCTTCATTTGATTCTTTTCTCAGCAGCCAGAGCGAGAGCGCTGATGAGTAGGAGGCAAAAACAATATGCTCAGGTCAAAACAGAGAAAATGGCCATCTCAATAGGTTCTCATGATCACTGTGCACCAAAAAAAATCACCCCTTTGCAAACAGACTTTCTCCACTATGGGTCAACGGTTCCTTTAAACAAGCTTATGGTGGGGGAACAAGGGTAAAAAGATGAACTGTAAGTGTTAAAGCCTGGCTTTTTAACTACTGATGTGAATATCCTTTTAGGGCTTGTTGCTCTGATGGATTGAGAGAGAGTGAGGAGAGGCACTCTAAAACTAGCCTGACCCAAATCCACTTCAGCACTCCGCAGCGCTGAGAGCCGAGACCCCTGCAAATAAATACAACCGCACATTATGAAATCAAGAGCCGACACTTAAAGACAAGCCCCGTCATCCCCATAAGAGGATTTCATAAGAGATGAGCGTGGAATTCTCATCCAAACAGAGCAAGGGATCTCCCCATTAAATGACTGACAATGATTTTCAAGATTAGAAATGCTATATTTTAACACATATTGACATGCTGACATTTTTTGGGGGGTAGATTACGAAAGAATAATCTAATTCAAAAGTGTTTCTGCTTGAATTTTTTTTTTTTTTTTTTGTGGAAACCTTTTATTTTCAAGATTCTTTGATTAATTGAAAGTGCAAAAGAGCCAAATTTATTTGAAAACGCAAATATTTTGTAACATTAGAGCAGCAATACAGTACAACTATTGATCATATATCTGAATAAAAGTATTTAAAAAAAGCTGACCCCACACTTTTGAAAGGTACTGCATATATATATATATAAAGTACACAGTATATAAATAAAGCAAATCCAAAAAAATAAGACTTAAATTATTGCTTTTTTTTATTTTGCGGAAAGGAAATTATCTGACAAGAGGAAGACATTAATCTCAGTGAATAAATATGCCACTGAAATCTTCTAAACGTGTGTCTTGGACAGTGTCAGTGTGCCGTTCCCGTCCGCTGTCTGCCTGTGAGGGGCTTCGGCGGCGTTTGCCAACATTCTGTTGAATTAATAGCTTCAGCTGTGGCCTGATGAGAGAGGATAACACAGCCATCCAATAATGTGATGTCCTAATCCTCAAAACATTTATTATAACGCACTCAATTTATGAATGATGGTCCATAATCAATTAAAACAATGGATTGGTTTTTTACCCCTAAGTTTCTGGTAACACTGTCTATGAATCCTGTATATGTAATGCATTATAAAAGGTACTAAATGTTCTTATACATGTATGTCATCATCTATACCATTATAATATAATTCTTGGTTACACCCATAAATTGTAGAATATATAGTATGAGCAACCCACAACTACTGTAATGTCTTATATAAGTTACAGTTCTCTGTCAAGGTGCTACCGGGAGTAAGGATTGAGAAAATATAACCAAAAATGAGGCATTATGAATATATAAATAATGCATTAAAATGCCTCCGCTCTGGTGGCCATAGAAACATGAGGCTGTACGGCAATGGCAGCTGATGCGCCTGCGTAACCATGACAACCCTGACAGCACAAGTGGGCTGCGCCATGACGACGGGATGGTGTGGTGAGTGATGTTGTAGTGCGGAAAAAAGCCACCATCTGCCCTCAGGTCAAAACACACGTTAGACATTAGAAATCAGAGCAATCTCTAACTGCTTGACACACTCTCTCACACACACACACACACACACACACAAGGCTGGAATACCAGCACCGCAGACATGAGGGCGGAAAGTGGAGCGTTCTCAAGGACGACTCAATGACGGTCTGCTCCAATTGAAAGGATCCAGCAGAGAGATGAGAAGGAGGCTAAAACTAACAGCTAACAGATTCTTCCAGACAACAGCTCTCTCATTCTGAAGAAGTGATGAAAGAGAGTTCATTTTAATCAGAATCAATTTACCCACATAATTATCCTAATTACACTGTTTATCTTTTTTGGATCGATCCATCGATCCATCCATCCATCCAGCTATCCATGTATCTATCTATCTATCTATCCATCCATCCATCCATCCATCCATCCATCCATCCATCATCTATCTATCTATCTATCTATCTATCTATCTATCTATCTATCTATCTATCCATCTATCCATCCATCCATCCATGTGTCCATCCATCCATCCATCCATCCATCCATCCATCCATCCATCCATCCATCCATCCATCCATCCATCCATCCATCCATCCATCATCTATCTATCTATCTATCTATCTATCTATCTATCTATCTATCTATCTATCTATCTATCTATCTATCCATCTATCCATCCATCCATCCATGTGTCCATCCATCCATCTATCCATCCATCTACATCCATCCATGTATCTATCCATCCATCCATCCATCCATCCATCCATCCATCCATCCATCCATCCTCTATCTATCTATCTATCTATCTATCTATCTATCTATCTATCTATCTATCTATCTATCTATCTATCTATCTATCCATCTATCCATCCATCCATGTGTCCATCCATCCATCTATCCATCCATCTACATCCATCCATGTATCTATCCATCCATCCATCTATCCATGTATCCATCCATCCATCTACATCTATCCATGTATCCATCTATCCATGTATCCATCCATCCATGTATCTATCCATCCATCCATCCATCCTTTCAATCCATCCATCCTTTCAATCCATCCATCCATCTATCTATCTATCTATCTATCTATCTATCTATCTATCTATCTATCTATCTATCTATCTATCCATCCATCCATCCATCCATCCATCCATCCATATTACCATTCATCCATCTATCCATGTATCCATCCATCCATGTGTCCATCCATCTACATCTATCCATCCATCCATCCATCTATCCATCCATCCATCCAGCCATTGACCTATCCACTTTTATATGTATGTTTATCGATTTCTATACATTTATCAATCTATATATGTATGTTAATCAATCTATCTGTTTAGTACTCTCTCTATCAATCTGTTTTTTGGCTACCAATCTATCGGTTCATCGGTTTATTCATTTATCTATGCATCTATCTATCCACTTATCCATCCACTTGGTGTATGAATCAGGTCCTAAAAGACACTGGAAGTCTTTGAAATCCTGTGTCCGCCATGACAGAAATATGAAAGATGGGAAAGAAAAGTGACAGTGAGATGTGGGAGGAACTGATGGCCTGAGGAGGGGACGAAGACAGAAAGGTAGAGAAATGACATACCAATTGCCATCACATTCTGGGATCCTCCTCCGCATTTCCATTCATAGAAATGCTCTTGCTCTTTCTCTCATTCTCACACGCACGCAGCCGTCACTACCTGAGTGGGAGGGGGTGCTGAGGTGGGGAGCTCTGATTGGCTGAGCCTCTCGGGCACAGCTAAGGTGAGCCAATGGGAGACGCCCTTTCATAAGCAGCACAGAGGAGTCTGAGGCATGCTAGGGAATGAGGATTAGAGAAGAGTCTTTTTCTGTCCTCCCAACCAAGTTGCAATATATCTATATATATATATATACACGCCACGCTGCTTTCTTTATCCCCAGACTTCAAAGCATCATCTCTGTAGTAGACTAAGATCTCACAGCATGGTTATGTGCTTCCAGAGAGACTGTGAATGGAAATTAAGCATAAATAGAATTGTCTCTGCTCTCATTTTGGTTGTTGTTTAACAGATTAGCCTGGTTACGGAAGATAAATGCAACTATACAGCAAGGGGGGTAAAAAAAAAAGAGAGAAGGAGAGTGAGAGAAACAGAAATGTGTGTCTGGGAGCCTTGCTTTGACGTCATTCAGAGGAATGAAGGCTCAGTGTGGCTAACACTATAGTCACACTTCATGTCAGGAGAGAAATGACGCTTTGCGCACACACGCACACGAATACGCGCTGTTGATGGATTTGCATTGCATATAAATGAATTAATTATAACTAGGGACGTAATTAAAGACCCACACACACATTCCAAATGAGTTTTATCTCATAAAACAATAATTAAGCAAGGTACAAGAGGCTGTGTTATATTTTAAAGGGCTTTCTTGCAAGCTCTCAAGTGCCTTATTGCTATAATTAAATGGATAATATTAGTTAAATCATTTTTAGTAAATATATCTTAACCTTTAAGTGTGTACATTAAAAATATTGGTGTAGGATATCCTTCTAAACAATTCTCTCAGAAATTGCTAGTTCATTTCACAAATATTTATAAGTAATATTGATTTAAATGAAATTTTGTAGAAAGACCGAAAGAGTATTTTCTTGTGAAATGACTTCGAAAAATCTTTTTAAAAAATTGGCTCAACCATTTTGGGGCGGGGCTATCTGTCTGTTCAACCAATGGCAAACAAAGGGAAACTAGTCATTATTTTAGCAATTCCTGTTTTATAATAGACTCCAAGACTAGATAAACTACAATTTTATTTTAACTAGATATGTAAATAGTTATGTGTATCTGGAAGAGCCTGTCTTTGTTTCAGTGTGGCTTGGCATTCACGTTCTAACCCACCTACTGAAAAATCACGTCACACGTGCACAACGCTCTCAAGGGGGTTTCTACTCCTACATTAACTTTCAACGTCCTTGACTGTGTAAGATCTCCCAAACACTCAACATCATTGTGTGTGTGTGTGAGAGAGAGAGGATTTTCCTTTTCACACAGCTTATCCTCTGAGACGCCAGTTCATTTTAGCCATAAGAGGCTGTTCTGTTGTGATTCATGTTTGTGATGTGCTGCCATAATGAAGAGTCATTTATCATAAAGATTAAACTGTTAAACATGCCTAAAATGATTATTAATTGGATAGTTTCCAAAAAAGAAGCACATACTTGTGAAAGCAATCATATGACCTCAGAAGAGTAGATGAT